GTGGTGCGCGCGTGGGAGGTCCTGGGGAAGATGAAGAAGGAGATGCAGGAGGTGCAGGGGAAGCTCAACAACAGTGAAAGCACTGTGAGCAGCCTGCTTGCCTGTGTGAATACAGGTAGGCTCGTGACCGTGTGGGGGCACATGCAGTGATGCTGCTGGGGAGATGCAGGGGCTGATCTTGGCCAAGCTCAGTCCCCCAAGCATCTGTGGAAGGGTGAGTGTCTGACCAGTGGGCCTATCCCCAGATTGCTGCCCCTCAGGCTGGGTGCTCTACAGAAGCAAGTGTCTCTTCATCTCAGCGCAGCACTTGTCCTGGAAGATGAGCTATGAGGACTGCGCAAGGAAATCTGCTCAACTGCTGGCCCCAGACAAATGGAGACCACTGGTGCCGGTACAGAGCAGGGTGGTTGTGGCACCTCAGGAGGGTGGGGCTGGGCAGAGTCCCATGGGGGCAGTCCTGTGGAGGTGCTGGGGTGGCACTGTGAGCTCCGGGTTTCCATCCTGGTAGTCCAGGAAAGAGGAGCACAGCCGAACCTGGGGCTCTCAGGCACCAGGCATGCACCAGCCATGAGGCAGGTGGTTGACGTCTTCTCTCCCCTCAGCATTTTGTGCAAGAATCTGCTTCAAGGTACTGGATTGAAGCACAGCTTGCTTCTGATGAAGAGATTTCTCTACGGGCAGATGGCAGATACAGGTAAGTGTAAGAGTCCTTGGCACAACCTTCCTTTTAGCCATGTCAGAAAGGTGCCATTTCTTCCCTGTGACAGCCCTTGGCAAAGGGGATGATGGTCCCATGAGCAGTACCCCAAGGGAAGGGGCTTGGGCAGAGCCTATCTGTGTGTGGAGTTCACTGCCAGATCTTCAAGCGGCAAAGAAGAAGGCCGGAAGCAGGAATATAACACTTCCTCAGCCTGGGCCCTGTGTCAGGCACCATGCATGCCCCAGCGGCACTGGGACCTGTGTGAAGCGGTGTCCATGTCATGGATGCTGCCACTGCTGCTCTGAGACATGCCCTCTTTCCTAGGAACCTGCATAATTCAGGCTGCAGAGCACTAGAAAGGGGGGGAATAAAGAATTTTGGGTGTTGGCACAGCTTAAAGTGGATCTGTGAGCAACCCCCAAAGCTGAGCAGCACATCCAAGACCCAACCTCCTTTCCTGGCCGAGGACTGACTGCTGCCACCCCACTCCATCGCTGGACTCAGCGACAGGAGCTGGAGAATGCACCCTGAGACTCTGTCACCTGTGCACACATTGCCTCAATTACATTGCAAAGCACTGACAAAGAGTGTTTTTATTTTAAAGCAAGGATGATGGAAAAGAGATCTTATTCACCTCTCTCACATTCATGCATACACTTGCACCACTTTGCACTGTGCCTCTGCGTGTCCCTGTGCACCCTGGTCGGTGCAGCTCACAGTGATCCAGGTATCTGGTGTGAAGTCCAGCTCTCACCTTCTGTGCTCCCCCAAGGCTACAGAGGGTGCACTGTCCAGGACCTGCCATTTGCATCTTTTTCAAGCTGGAGAATGACACACTGGTGTCCTCAACCTGTCCATTTCATGGAGTCCTGTGGATTTACTGCCTGTTCCTTCTCTTGGCACTGACGGCTTTCACCCTGCCCTTTCTCCTGCCTCCATCACCTGCCCAGGGCTTTGGGTCGGGTCTTGCCTAGGAAGGGTGCAGACACGGGTGCCGTCAGCATGAGGAACTGCTGGGAAGCCCTGAGACCATGTGGGAGATGGGGGAGTGCTGGGGAGCCTTGAGACAATGAGGGATGAATGCAGGAATCCTAAGACCATGGGAGGAAATGGAGGCACAGTGAAGATCCCCAAGATCATGGAAGGCAAATAAGGAAGGCCCTGAGGAAATGGGGGTGCAGCAAGGAGCCTTAAGACCATGGGAGAGAGGGGGGAGCACTGAGGAGAACTGGAAACATGGAGGAAAGGGGAGACCCCTGCCACCATGGAGAAAAGATTCCAAAGACCATGCAGAGACATGCGTCCAAAGAGGGTGATGAGAGAACCCTGCCCAGGACCTGGTCTTGGGGTGGGTGGGGGAGTCTAGGTGCAGCACTGAGCCTGTCTGTCTCAGTGTTTCTGCAGAGAAGTGGATGAGGTGGGGACCATTTTGCTAAGTTGAATTTGAGACAACCAGCATGGCTTCACCAAGGCCAAGTCCTGCCTGACCAACCTAAGTTGCCTTCTGAGATGGAGTGATTGCATCAGCAGACAAGAGAAGGGTGACAGATGTCATTTATCTGGACTTATATCCACTGTTAGATGGATTAGACAGCAGTTGGACAGTCACATCTAGAGGGTAGTGGTCAATGGCTCAGAGTCTTAATGGACATTGGTGGTAAGTGGTGTCCCTCAGGCATCCACATAGGGACAAATGTTATTCAATATCCCCATCAATGACACAGACAAAGGGATCAAGTGCCCCCTCAGCAAATTTGCAGATGATACCAAACTGAGTGGTGAGGTTGACACACCTGAAGGGCAGGATGTCATCCAGAGGGACCTGGACAAGCTCAAGAAGTCCCATGAGGACATAATGAGGTACCACAAGGCCAAGTGCAAGGTGCTGCACCTGTGTGAGGGCACTTCCCAGTATCACTCCAGTCTAGGAGGTGAACTGCCCAAGACCAGCCTGCCAAGAAGGACTTGGGGGTGCTGGTGGATGAGAAGCTGGACATGAGCCCACAATGTGTGCTTGCAGCACAGGAAGCCAATCATGTCCGGCGCTGCATCCAAAGCAGCATGACCAGCAGGTAAAGGAAGGGGATTCTGCCTCTCTACTCCACTCTTGTGAGACCCTGCCTGGAATGCTTCATCCAGCTCTGGCATCCCCAGAACAGGAAGGAAGTGGACCTGCTGGAGCAAGTACAGTGGATTAGAGGGATGGAGCATCTCTCCTCTGAGAACAGGCTGCGAGTTGGGATTGTTCAGCCCGGAGAAGAGAAGGTTCCAGGAAGACTTTATTGTGGCCTTCCTGTGCCAAAAGGGGCTACAAGAAAGCTGGAGAGAGACTTTTCACAAGGGCACTTGTTGAAAGACTGAAATGTTAAAGGTTGATGACTCAAACAATCAGCCATTTGCAAAAGCAGTAAGATGCTTTGCTGAGGCTAAGTTTGCACTTTCCAGCCAAAGGGGAGGAGGACAGGTTTGGGGTGTGTGGTGTGAAACTTCTGATCTTCATAAGAAGAGCCCAGGTGCAGCAGGGGTGCACATGTAGTATGATCATGACAAACGGACCTTTGTTTAGCAATAGGCTGGGGTCTGAGCCAGATAAGGGAAAAGGCTGCTAAGAAGCTGATCCTGTGGTGGGATCATGCCGATTTCCTCCCTTACACAACTCACTCAGGTGCAAAACTCACCCCTCCCCATCCAGGGGAATTATTGGGATATTTACATATAGGCCTGTAGGTATTCATCCCTTCTGATAAGGCATAACTGGCTCAGCTATGCAGGCATGAGAAACATGAGAGAGGCAGTGTCTTAGAAGGGGTCACAAATGATCAAAGACTCCTGAAGCACCCCCAGACTCATTTCTGGGGCCTTCTACCAGAGGACTGTGCATGATCCACAGTGTTGCATCAGACAACGTAAAACTCCCCTCAGGAGAGCTAACTGGGATTTCCCCCCTAAACCTGAACACTGGACTTCATGCTGTGTGGGTTTCCCCCACCCCCAACAGATTAAGACTGCAACCATCACTTTAACCAAGGGACATCTAAATTGTAACAATCAAGTCTCAGTCACTGGATCCATGGGTGGTGATATCTTTCCTCTCCACTATCTACTGTTATCCTTTCTTTTTCTCTTTCTTCCTTTCCCTTATGTATTTTCTTTAATGCTATTTTTATACTTTGATATTGCTACATTTCTATAGATAATAATCAAAATGGCTACATACCTCCTTTCCAT